CAGGATGTATTCTAGACAGGACGTATTCCAGACAGGGCGTTAACCAAACAGGATGTATACTAAACAGGACGTATTCCAAACAGGACATATACCATTCAATTGTTTCCATAAGAAATAAAGGGAGAATTATTAATCCGTTCCCATGAAAACAAAATCACATTCTTACTGGTATACTGTACACTGATGGGGTTGTATAAAATAATTTATATACTGCCTAATGCTAAAATACATAAATACAAAGGTAAAGGTAAAAATCAGGAGATGTGAACCAGCGTTATTCTATCGACTGAGCTAACACGGCCCCGACATAAATACAAAAGCACAAACCACAGACCTACCAGCCACTATCTTTTCTAGAAGTCAAATCTCTCATTAAGAGAAAATCAGAAACAGATTGGAAAACCATCACTGGTTATAACTACGGAAAAGATTTTCTGAAACACTTGAACAGAACAGACCAAGTCACAGTTTTTCGCTTACGCACTGGACACTGCAGACTCAATAAACACTCACATAAATAAGGTATGAGCCAAACAGCTCTCTGCCAGTGCCTTCGTGCTGAACAGACTCCAGAACATGTCCTGCAAGACTGTCCTCTCCTGGCGGAGCTGCGGAGCGACATATGGCAACACCCAGTAGAACTGACAACTAAGCTTTGGGGAAACCTAAGAGACCTTGAAAAGACATCCCAGTTTATGACCCACAGTGGATTATGCGCATGACCAGAGATCGATGAAGAAGAGAAATACAAAAGCAATTAGATGAAATAAATGAACATTTTCCTCATTTTAACTTGCTGAGAATTGCTGAGTGCCTACTTGTTTGGTGTTAAGAAGGGAAGAGAAGGAAATGTTATTGTTTAGAAGGAGAGTCCTTTTCAATAAAACTTCAAGAATCTGAAATATTTCTTATTAGGTCTCTTTTCCCTACTTGTACCTGGCTGAGGTTCACCATGTTTGACTGTTACTAAAATCTGTTCAAAGAATTTTGCTTCTGCCTTTTCATAAATTTGGGGGTGCCTAGTTGACCATGTTCTTAGTGCATTTGTTTCCATAGTGAGGCACACATGCTATTTGGAGGTGACAGGTTTGATTCCTTGCACAGTAACTATAGCTTTTGATTTTTATGTTGCCTTGTGTGTTCTTCTATCTTTATGCTTCTTTCTATGAATGCTAATTAACTCTTTGAGTTCCAGAGGGTTTAGCATCACAGGCCCAAGGGGTAGTCAAGAGAGATGTAAAATCGGTGCATTATGCGTTCACTGGGCTTCTAGGCAGTAACCTATAAACGTATGATGCTTTCCTTGGGACTCAAAGAGTTAATACACTGTCTGTTTGATTTTTACATTTGCATTTTCCTCAGGATGTTTCGGAAATCTAACGATGTCTGGTTATTCCAGACATTGCTATTATGGCTTACTGGGGATTTGTTTGGGTGGTACTTCTCTACAAAATGTTTGACATCAAACCGCTTGGCAAACATTTCCTTCATTAATGCGAGAGGTAAACAAGGGTTGCATGTGGTGGCATGACTCATTCAGACTCATACAAGTTTCAGTACATGATTCAGATTCCAAACAAACAGCGTATACCAAGCAAAATCTTTTATATCTAAACAAGACCTGTAGCAAGTTGGACGTATACCAAAACATATACATATACCAAGGTACCACTGTACGTTCATATTTCTGTATATTTTCACCAACTCTCTAAGCTATATTTTTAAAAACTGTTTTTGTTATTTCAAACTTATTTTCATCAATCTTTTGCTTTTAATTCAAGTATCACATAAATTTAGACAATGCCTTTATAGTAAAAAATTTATAGCCAAATAAAATCATTTTTATACTGACCTGAATTTCAATACACAGATTATAAAAATCTTCAAACAAATAAAACAAAATTCATCAATTCCTGACTCACTGATGTTTTTACCCCACCAGGACATCACACAGATTGATAAACACCCAGTGACACCACTCGGATGAAGATCACCCGGGAACATGTTCCGGAAACTCTGTTCAACCCGTAGAGTTATAATTAGGGCCCCCCCATCCACAGCTGGGATAGGGCCTCAAAATAACGAAAAATTGCAACACACATGGGGACAAACTCAAGAAATACATCATTTCCTTTTAGATTTAATTTTTAAAAAAAGTTCATTAATACTTTTGCCAGTTAATTTAAAAATTCACCATTACCTTTGACATTTCCTTGAAATTGAATACAATTAAATTCATTGTTACCGTAGACATTAAAACTGTTTTAAAAATAATGATAGTTTCTCTTGATATTCAATTTAAAAAAAAAGGTCATCATTATCTTTGACATTACAGTTAAGAAAAAAAATTCCTAATTTTCCTTCATATTCAATCAAATTAATCATACACTTCACATTTAAATTAAAAAACAAAAAATCATCATTACCCTTGATATTCAGTAAAATAAAAGTCATTATTACCACTGACATTAAAATTTACAAAAAAAAAAAAAAAAATTATCATTACCCTTGATATTCAATAAAATAAAATTCATTATTACCTTCGGCATTTACATAAAAAAAAAACAAAAAAAAACTTATCATTACCCTTGATATTTGACATGGAATATTCTGGTACCGGCTTCATATAATTAGGTAGCCACGACTGTACTGTGGCTAGCATGGTTGCTTGTTGGCCTTGTCTGAAGAAGGGTTCCAATTTGCATCAAGCCAGATTTTTAAAAATGATCAACCTGGATCAACCCACCCTCATATAGGTACCAGAAAATGTCATGGAAAGTAAAGGCAGCTAGCTTGATTTTGATGACATCACCCATTAACAGCCAGCTGGTCTACAAAATTATGTGGTAATCACCACATGCCACATAAGCCTTTACTTTACATATAAGTAAATCTTACTGTCACATAAACTATACCCTGTTAAATATGCTGTACATTTCCATGTCAAAATAAATTTCAAAATATACAATATTTGGCATGTACAAAGCATGCAATATTCACATATGATGCAGCATCCAGTATCAAGAAAGTATGGTTAAAAACAAACTAACTGTTTCTTGAGTTACATAGACACAACACAGATTTTACAGAATTACAAACATGCAAGAAAACTTGTTACTTAACTGTGGGAATTGATTATGTCAATGTACATTTATTTATTTCTTGTAATGATAATTTTGCCACCATATTGCCGAGTGCAAAAAGCAAAACTTAGACCACTGAAGAAATGGAAGTAAGTTTTATATATTTATTTTTATATTAAAAAAACAACAACTTATTTTCAGATTATAAATAAGTAAACGCCAAATTGTCATGCTTTGAAGTTCTTTTAGGTATATGGTAATCATTGAATATTTTGTTGTTGCTTGAAAAGCATTCAATATTTGACTTGCTCTAGTTTTTAAAACAGGTCACTAGGAAAACCCATGTGAATGATAAATACTCATGCTTCGATGAAAAAACCCTTCACCTGAGTTATAGGCCACAGTGCTTGCTACTGAGCAATTTCAGCCTTCTAATTTTCAGTTTATCTTCTTATAGAAAAGCCTTTTGTACTGTTTTCATGGTGTGCATGTCAGACAAGACCACCCATACCTGAGCAAATTCTGCAGGCCTCCTCACTATACATAACCTTTAAAGAGAAACCTGGTCTCAAGAGCAGAGTGTGCAGAGCAAGGTAAATGGAATCATGGAGGACCTGCAAATGACATGTTAGTTCATAGAGGTACCTACTGTCAAACTTTCAGGGACTCAAAGAGTTAAAGTTTTACTTAATTCTTTGTGTTCTAACCATCTATCGTAGTATTCTGTGTTCTGTGGATGTATTTATAGTGTAGTATCCTTGAAAACTGTTATTTAAATCCCTTGCATTTAAAACTGTTACTGTATAGGGTATTCTGTAAGTTTCTTTACAATAACTGAATAATTGTTAACTACACAACTCTTGTGGTGCTCTTATGATGTGGTACATCCTCATCAGGTTCCTTGCCGACTGACATGGGCAAACATGCCTCTCCACAATCTGCGATCTCCTGCAGCATATATCAGTTTGTGTGCTGACTGCGGTACACAAATTTTAAAAAAACTTTGACCGTGAAAGGATTTACACAACACCCTATATTAACCTAATCCAACAGATCATGCATTAGTTCGTAGTAACAACTGCAACAGAAAGTTAAGATATGAATGTCACTATGAACTAGACATTGCACATTTGATAGGTTTTTTAGTATCAAAAGAGTTAAATAGCATGCTCTCTTAACTGCATATTCAAGTGTATATGTATGCCATACCCTAAATCTTCAGGTCCAATACTTTCCTGTCTTACACTGTTCTAAAAAGTGGTACCCATAGGCAGTAATGATAGTTTTTTTTATTTAAAGACATCTTATATGTACTGGACTCTTTCCCTTGAAATATAACCATCACATTATGTGTTCAGGAACAATCTGCATTTGGCTAAGAGATACTAAAAAATCTGGCTTCCCTCATGGGCATTTTCATTGTGTATTTCCCCCACTTGAGCTTCTGCTGTGAAAATTTTAGAACTGAAGGTGTCATCACACATCACTGACTGAATGCCAAAGTTATCTAAGTACAATTTTGCTGTACATTTACAAGACTTTTGTTTATCACTTTATAATTTGCCAAAGGCACAGACACAAATTCCTACTCCAAATAGGTCCAAATAAATTATGACTTTTCATGCAACTACACAATTCTTTAGAGATCTCAATGTTGAAACAATTTTCTTGAAACAAGGTTTTATCATCTAGCTAAGTTTGCCATAGTGTCAACAACATGAGTGGTTATTAGCGTTCTTTCTAAATACAACTGAAATAAAACATAACCGATGTTAGGATCCAACCACAGAGTGAAGAAAGCTGGCATGCAATCCAGTGTCATTTATCGCTGCAGAATTAAAATACTATTTCATGCCCAACATCCAAGGTCAAGGTGTGTCCAGTGAGTTAACAGAAAATTGTGGGAAAAGTTTAAAGTTAGTAGCGACGGTGAAACATCATGTATCGTCTCATGCTTTCTTCCATCTGAAAGAAGAGAAAAGAAGTTGAAATAAAAGTGTTCCAAAAAATATGTTTAATGAAATTTTATGAAATATAAAAATAAATTCTTAAATAAATGTTCCCATTCTTATAAGAGTTTTTGGAAAACAGTGTTAAAGAAGATTATGAACTCCGGTGGAAACTTCTGGTTGTTTGTCCACCTGTGGATGCTAGTCTTTTCTGAGCACTTCGTGCACATCCATTTTACAGATCTGGCTTATTTGTATGCAGACTGTTAGTACCTTGCGTATCAGGCAAATGCAATCTGACTGAAGGAAGCCTCCAAATAATCGAGTCCTAGGAGCTTCTAGCTGGGGTGGTAGTGGGTCTATTCTAGTTTTAACCCACACGGAGCCCCGGAACCCATCAGGTATGCACTGCTGTAATAGACACACTCGTCTGTGGATTAGAAGATTATGGGTTCAGTTCCTAAAGGTTGACCCAGCCTTGAGTGGGTATCAGGTGCAGTCTTGGAAAGTAAAGGCAGCTGATGTGATGTTGACAACATCACCCACCAAGTGCCGATTGGTTTATAAACTATAGGTCTAGTCTTATACGCCCAATGTGTGTGTGTGTGTGTGTGTGTGAGTGAGTGTGCGCACGCGCGCGCATGCATGCACGCAGGCACGCACGCATGCACGCACACACACACACACATACATATATATTCACATACATATACATATATATTTATATATATATATATATATATATATATATATATATATATATATATATATATATATATATATATATATATATATATATATATATATATACATATGGGGGGGGGGGAGCTGTGTGGTCTTGAGGCATGGTGCCCACCTAGAGTTCTAGAGGTTCCGGGTTCAATCCCCGGTAAGGGCTGGGATTTTTTCATGTGGACTTGGACTTCTAGTAATTCCCCCTGGCCTCTGGGTAGTCAGATTGGATGCTCATGTGCATTGTTGAACAGGTAAAAAAAAAAATTCCCTTGGCAGTTGGAAATCAAAAATAGTAGCCTAATGGCATTGCTAGGACAAAGTTTGGAGTTAAAAATCTACCCAAAGTATTTCAGGATCCTCACCAGTGCTACAGAGCCTGTGCACTGTGCTGAGCTTCGTTGGACTCAGACTTGAATTAGAAGAAGAACGGAGCACTTACTACCCATGGTTCCGTTATGTTGATCCGTTGTTAAAACCTCAAACCTATATATATATATTTTTAAAATTTATTTTCCTTTTTGTTTAACCTGTACACTGAAAATATAATCAGAAACGTCAGAGATGATATGACCAGAGAGCAATATGATGCCTTAAATATTGGTGGTCATGAAATACCAGAGATCCGATATGCTGATGATACAGTATTGCTATCGACATCACAGACTGGTATAGAAAACTTAATCCCCCCAAAATAGTGAAAATCACAGCTTATATCTTAACATAGACAAAACAAAGATAATGCATACAGATAAAACTGCTATGAAAGAAATATATACATTAATTTGGGTGACTGAGTGGTTAACCTTTTGGTACCAGTCTGTAACTCCTTCTATTCCTAGAAGTTCTAATTTAGAACAGAAACATACACTATGAAGAATGTGAGCATTGTTAGCCAGATTTTTAGTATACACTGACCAAGCATTGGAGATATTAAAAAACCACTTATCCATAGCACACATACACATTAGTTATTATACATGATATATTATTGGGATAGAATGAGTTGAGAGGCAAGAGACAAAACAGTTTAAAAAAGCAACATGTAAGTAAAGCTTTACAATTATATAAGATTGATTTTCACTGGTAGTAAAAGAAAAGATTGAAATCAAAGTATATTTCAGTAACATAATTATATACAATAATAATTCACTGATGTTATTTTGAGATTAAGGTTGTTACAAATTCAGACTAATGCCATGCAGTAAGATACAGAGATAAAATATTTACTTATGACAAATTGACCTTTCTTTAACTTTTGAAATAGGACTATGTAATAGTCCTTGATTCCTTGAGTGGGTATGGGGTGCAGTCCTGGGAAGTAAAGGTGGCTGGCGTGATGCTGACCACATCACCCATCTTGTGCCTATTGGTCTATAAAAATATAGGTCTAGCCCTATATGCCTAAAGGTGTAGAAAAGGGACCTTTACTTTACTTTTGTACAATGTAATAGAATTGTAATGATTCTTCTTCTTAGTGTTCCCTGGCTGTAAACTCTGATAGAAAGTTCTGGTTGCCTGTCCACTTCTAGACTTTGGTTTTGTTTCAGAACTTTAGTTTTGTGTGCACACCTGTTTTATAGATTTGGCTTATTTGTATCCAGACTGTTGATTCCTGACCTCTCAGGCAAGTGCACTCCGACTTCAAAGAAAACACTTAAAATTAGCTGCCTTTTATGACATGCATATTACGGGCAGTGAGTCTATTCTTTTTTTCTCCCAAAATGGAAATCCCTGAACCCACATGAGTAAATTTAATGATTGATATCCTGGTTAACTCTTATGGGTTATACTTGGCATATAAATATAGTTTGTAACTTTTCCATTACTTGATATTTATGTTTGTCTCATACTTTTGACTATTTGATATTGTATTGTTATTTATAATGTACAATGTTAGTCAGTCAGTTGAGGTTCCAACATCCTTACAGATGGTTCGCTCCATAACTGCTCCCTTCCGGTACTAGTGGAAATCACATAAGATGTTCTTCACTGACCCATTTGAAATCTATTGAAAAACTTGCCAGTTCCAGCATAATCTTGAAGCTTCATCATTATCATCACCATGTGCCCTGCCAACTGGCGTAGGGGCTCATGGGTCACCACAGATCACCATCCCTTGTTGCCTGGAACAGCTCTTTTAATGACATCACTCCATGCCATCAAGTTAGCCCATCCAGTATCATCTCTCTTGATCTGCCTCTACCCCTTTTTCCACTGATCTTTCCAGTTGTCACGATGTTCTCCAATGTCTTTCTTCTCATTATGTGGCCAAAGAACAGTGTTTGTCTTTTTCTTATTGTTATATATATAGATCTCCTTTCATCAGCTTCTTTCAAGCAATCGTTATTAATTACTCTGGCCATCCAAGGTATTTGTAACATTCATCGCAGAAACTACATCCCTGTTGCTTCAAAATTCTTCCTAATTTGTTCACTATCATTCCAAGATTGGCTGCCATATAGCAGAACAGAACTTGAAGCTTCCACAAGCAAAATAAAAATGCATAAGGCAGCTATTAGATGTGCTGACACTAATGGCTCCAAACCAGAATTGCAGCTTACTGTTGCCACAAATGGTCAATCATGAAAGCCCTATTGTACTTGTGGAAATGCACAAAATTCCATATGTAATCAGCTACCCATTATTTTAGTGAAGCAAACAACACACTGCTAGCACAAATAAAAAAACATCCCCCGTGAAATTCACAGCTCACAGTGTCACACAAAGCACTCAACTCTGTAGCTGGGCAACGAACTTAGGACTCCCAGTCCAGAAATAGGGAATTTCCATCAGCAAAACCCATCAGGACAGAAATAATAAACAATATCTTGCTGCTAAGAACATTATTTTTATGTTCTCTTTAGATTTACCATGTCTGTTGCATTTAATTTATATTCATTATATTTTATAAGTTCATATATAATAATTTCACACTTAATCTAGCAGAAAATTTATCTTTTGTGTCAATTAATCTATGCATCTAATACAAATATTTTAAAAATGGAATACTTAAACACTTCTGTTGGCTACTAACAAAATTAAAAATCAGAACTTTTCCTGTATTCCATATCAGTTTCAACATGCATTCGATTGCAAGCAGTTCAACATACTTTGATAAAACTTGAGTTCATTTGGATTTGCCGTCTTTCAGCTTATAAAAAAATCTGCTTTACGCATACTATCGATCATGTTTTGAACCTGTAAATGAGATAAAATGAGCTGCAGCTGTAAAGCATAGTTATAAATGACTGAATTGATTAGGTCATATAGGAAAAGGGGCATTTACAAACAGTGATTCCCAAACTGTTTCAGAGTACCACCATTTCTGTCATCAAGATAACATCTATGGTAACCTCATTTATACAAACTGTCATATACCCGTTTCTTGGTATAGTATGAAGAGGCCAACAAACTGGCATAAACTTGATGCAAACCTTATAAAGAGGCCAAGCAGTTTTTAAGATGTATTAATAGAACCAAGTAGGAACTGCAGCATAAAGGACACCAGAAACATAATGCAGACTATCAGTTTTACAGAAGAGTAAAATGACATCCAAACATTTGCTAGAAGTGTTCAAACTATTGCAGAATAGAGACAGTTATTATGAGCTACACTCACATCAGTTTAGGAACAAACTCTGTGGAGACGTCAGCAACCTCAGTTTGCCTGCTGCTTTCTTGAAATATATTCATACAAACATCTGCAGATGCAGGAAGAAGAAGAAGAAGAAGAAGAAGAGGACAACAAAATTAAGAAGAAGAAGAAAAAGAAGAAGAAGAGGAGGAGGAGGAGGAGGAGGATGAGGAGGAGAACAACAAGAAAAAGAAGAAGAAAAAGAAGAACAAGAAAAAGAAGAAGAGGAAGAAAAAAATGAAGAAGAGGAAGAAGAAGAAGAAGAAGAAGAAGAAGAAAAAGAAGAAGTATATAAAGAAGAAAAAGAAAAAGAAGAAGAAGAAGAAGAAGAAGAAGAAGAAGAAGAAGAAGAAGAAGAAGAAGAAGAAGAAGAAGAAGAAGAAGAAGAAGAAGAAGAAGAAGAAGAAGAAGAAGAAGAAGAAGAAGAAGAAGAAGAAGAAAAAGAAGAAGTATATAAAGAAGAAAAAGAAAAAGAAGAAGAAGAAGAAGAAGAAGAAGAAGAAGAAGAAGAAGAAGAAGAAGAAGAAGAAGAAGAAGAAGAAGAAGAAGAAGAAGAAGAAGAAGAAGAAGAAGAAAAAGAAGAAGAAGAAGAATTTAGTTTGCAGTAATTTTTAAACCCTTACCAAGCTCTCTCCTCCTCATTTTCC